AGCACTCCAGCACTCCTCTTTTCAAATCTACATTACAAAAGAGCTGGTAAAGGCCAAGCATTGCAGCTGGGGAGTGGGTCTGAATTCTAAGCTGGAAACCTTCTGTGGTTGGGTAAGAGAGTAACACTCACACTTAAAAATTTTATTTCCATCACATGTATTGTCTGCAATGAACATGCATCACATATGGTGTAATAAAAAATAAATAAGATGTTTTAAAAATAAATAAAAGAGATGGTAGGGAAGGAAGTGAGCACTGTTCTTTCTCACTTTCCACTTTCCTTTCCTCTCCATAGAGACTGCTGCATCCTTRACTCTCTGTTCCAGGGAAAGTGGAGTGGAACCTTTCCTGTGACTCAGGATTTGAAGTGTTTCCCACCCCCACAGGCCTGCTGCGGGGGTGGGAGCAATGGAGTCATGCTCCTGTACCAGTGCAGAGGAGCTCTGAGAAGGGCTCTGGAATCAAGCTACCAAAGGCCTTCAGAGAGAGAGGAGCACAGCTCTCCCATCTCCTGGACTAGATCTGCTGGGCTCTCCATCCTGTCCTCAAGAAACACCTCCCTGGGTCTGAGATCTCTGGAGGTTTGTTCAATTTCAACACCTTGGCATCCCTCAGGAAAATCTCAAGGCTTGGGAAGGACAGTGGAACTGTATCAAGGCCTCCTGCCTCAGGAGTCTGCGATTGGAATGGGAGGCCACTGACATTGAATTCTAAGAAAGACCCAGACCCAGAGCCCCATATCGCCCATCCATGCCTATATATCCTGATCCTATAAGCACTCTGGTGGTGAGTCTTGAATTAAGCCAAATGGACACTGGACAGTTGTTTGTTTTTTTTTTTTTTAATCCGTGTGCTAAGCACAAGGAAAATGAAGTGTGGGCAGGTTTTTGTGATCTCAGTCTTTCTGAATAGGAGCCCCCACAGGAGTGAAGAAGCCCTGGTGAGTCAGGAGGCACAAGACAAAGTGGTTAAACTGCAAGTGCTCACACAGATCTGAACTCTAATCCTTCATTCTGCTCTTACATACTTACTGATTGTAGGCAAGTTCCTGATGTCACTGAACCTTAGTTTTGTTTTATCCTTTTGTTTTCTATTTTGCAGTACTGGGGAATCACACTCAGGGTCTTATACATGCTAGGCGAGTGTTCTACCACTGAGCCTCAGTTTTTATGTGGCGTGTTCTACCACTGAGCCTCAGTGGGCATATGTGTTCATATCATTGGTTTGCTGTGAGGATAAATGAAACAATGTCTATAGGGTCCCCAGTCACTCTCATTAATTGAGTTATTAGTATTAAGGAACCTATAAACCTTACTTTTCGGGCTGGGGATATGGCTCAAGCGGTAGCGCGCTCACCTGGCATGCGTGCGGCCCAGGTTCGATCCTCAGCACCACATACAAACAAAGATGTTGTATTTAAAAAAAATTCTCTCTCTCTCTCAAAAAAAAGAATTGTTTCAAACTTTTAAAAAAACCAAAACCTTACTTTTCTTTAAAACCGGAATAGGGGCTGGGGATGGTTCAGAGGAACAGAGGCTTGACTGGGGATTAGGATTTATCTGAGGGATGGGGATTAAATGAAATAATAAATGAAGAGTAGTTGACACACTATGAATAAGTATCAATTATTGACACCTCCCTGTTTTTTGTTTTTTTTTTTAAGGTCACAGCTTAAGAGTTTGCTCCTCCTACTGCTTACCTCCTTAAAGTTTTCCAGTTGCCAGGAAATGACCCTTCTTATCTTTTTGAAGGAAGACTCACTGATAGAAGAATGACATCTAGAAAAAAATCATGTAGGGAGCTGAGCACGGTGGCGAACTCCTGTAATCCCTGCAGTTTGGGAGGCTGAGGCAGAAGGATCATGAGTTCAAAGCCAGCCTCAGCAACTTAGTGAGGTCCTGTCTCTAAATGAAATATTAAAAATGGCTCAGTGTTTAAGCACTCTTGTGTTCAGTAGCAGGTACAAAAAAAAAAAAAAAGGGAGCTGAGCACGGTGGCGAACTCCTGTAATCCCTGCAGTTTGGGAGGCTGAGGCAGAAGGATCATGAGTTCAAAGCCAGCCTCAGCAACTTAGTGAGGTCCTGTCTCTAAATGAAATATTAAAAATGGCTCAGTGTTTAAGCACTCTTGTGTTCAGTAGCAGGTACAAAAAAAAAAAAAAAAGGAAAAAAAAAAAGCATGTAGAGAGAGGAGATCCTGGGGTCTCTCTCCTTCCTGAGATCTGCCTCTCAAAACATTCCAACCCAGGGCTTTCTTATTAGTGTTTCTCGTGGGCCAAGCTCTGCCCAAGGGTTCATTTTAGCGTTTTCTGAAATCCCTAGAGGATCAGTATTAATCTTCCCTACCTATAACATGGCAGCTCAAAGCCAAGGGCTTCCCAGCCAGGGAGAGAATGAAATGGAAGTTTCCTCTTTTTATCTGTGTCTCTCTCCCCTCCCTTTTGCGGGGGAGCTGACTGCTCGCTCTGGAGGGACTGAGGGAAGCCGGGCTGGCTCTAATGTGATTTTGCCTAGATGAAGCTGGCAGCTGGGAACCACTTTTCCTCGGCTTGCCCTCTGCTGGGGAAACTCCATGACGGAGATGAGGCAGCTGGCAGGGAGAAACCTCTGGATTGAGGCTGCCGGGCTGCTGCAGAGCTAGGCAGGGACATGCAGAGACAGATGCTGATGGCACCTTTCCTTTTTGAGCGCTCCCTAGAAGGGCGATGCCTTGGTGAAGGATTACTTCCTCAGTAGCAAGAAGAAAATACAAAAGAGCACAGGACATCATGGAAAGGATTTGGTACCTGGGGTCTCAAGACTTTAATCCCAATCCTGGTGTTATCATTTCTTGGTCATATGATTTTTGCCCTCAAGTTGTTTAGTGTCTTTGCTCAAATTCTAACCTCCCAAATTAGAAAACGAGTGTCAAGAACCTTTCTCATAAAACTGTGGGGGAGAATTAGTTGAAACAACTACAGGAAACTGGAATCTGGGCGATGGTTAATAAGTGTTCATTTATTCCACAAAGAGGCTGAAACAAAAGGAAATCACTGGATTCTGTAGGATTTGTGATTTATCAGCTTATTCTATAGGATGAGGCAATGGGCATCACATCATTGAGTGGGTGCTTGATTTTAGCCAAAATGTTTCTATTATTAACCATGGGATCCCCAGAGGCTCCCTGATACTCTCTGTCTCAGAATTAGTTTCTCTGGGCATTGACACCCAGGGCAGGCGATCCAATCTGCATCTCCCTTGAGCCCTTGGCTGCCCTTCAGGAACCAGTCCTTCCTTTCTGGTACCAGAGGCACATTTCTGTTCTGGGGAGGACTGGATGACGCAGTTACCATGTCACCCTGTGGTGTGTATGTGTGTGTTGGGGAGCTGTGTCCATGCTGGAATTGAAAAGCATCCTTGAGGGCTTCGACTTTAACAGGGGAGGTTACCATGCCAACCATAGCTTCCTTGCCCTACAGGGATGAAGGGAAACAAGGCCATGGGTGAAAGGCATCTATTGTGTATCCACAAACTTGCTTGGAGCCTATTAGGGGCTGCTAACTGCTGCTCAGCAAGACAGGGCAAGGGAGATTCAGGTTAGGTTTCAGTGGGACTTGGGACAGGCAGGTCTGATGAGGGCAGGGCAGGGTCAATGAGGGAGAATCAGGAAATGCTTTTCTGAGATTGATATCTATCTTCTGGTGAAATGTGTGGGTGTGGTACTGACAGCAGGTGTGGGAAGGGATGCTGTCCTAGATACAGGTTCTGGCTGTGATGGGAACTTCAACTTCTTCCAGGTTCTATTTGCCCTTTTCAGACCATACAGGAGGTCACCTATGCTTTAGAGGAAGTAGAGAAGGGTAGGGACAATAGATAGGTAGAGCAGTGGCTGAACTGAGAAAAAGAGTGTCAGTGCCACAGGCATGCTCTGGTAAAGGCATTAAAATCTTGGCAATAAGGTCCCCAAGACCTGGGGGTGTGGCTCAGTGGTGGAACAGCATGTCTAGCTCGCTGGAGGCCCTGAGTTCAATCTCCCAAATCAAAAGAAAGAAAGAAAGAAAGAAAGAAAAATAAACTTCTAGAAGGACAGGCTCACCCAGGGAGGGCAAAGCTCCCAGAAGAGCGGCCATGTGCACAAGCCTGCATTTCCAGGTTAGGCATTTTACACAAGTGCACACACTCGTTTCATTTGATTCTAACAGACTTGCAAAACAAGCATTGTTTCCCCCATTTAACTGAGGACTTGGAGGTTCGGAGGACATAAGCACCTCTTCCAGCGTCAATCCACTGGTAAGCGGAGAAGCTGGGATTGGAACTTCCTGTGTGAACCCCGAAAAACTCCAAACCTTAAGGGTGCCTTATTTTCTTCTGGAAAGATCTTTTTCGAAGCAGTCAGCTCCCTGTTTCCCCACTCATTTAGGCTTCCCAGAGGCCCAGTTAGTTGGAAAAAGGCTAAAGAGATTCAGACAGCTGGTGTCTGGGCAGACTGTCCTCGTCCACAGCTTCCAATAACTCAGTGGCCACCGCGGACCATGTCCTTCTAAGGGGGTGGTCCTGCGGCATCTTCTCATTTTATCCCCTCCACCCTCCGCATAGTAGGGGCCCGTGGCTCAGAGACGAAAGCTCTCGCCCAAGGTAACACAGCGACTGCGAGGTGCAGCGAGGTTCCGGGTCGGCTTCGTAAGCGTCAGGGCAGCGCGGGGTCTCGGAGGGCCGGTCCGCAGTGCGCGTAGCCCCCGMCGGGCTGGAGTCCCGGGCTCTGGCCGCCGCGCGGGCTCAGAGGTCTGCGGCGGCGGAAGCGCCTCCCTATCGGGCGGGATCCCCGCCCCCGGCCCGCCCCGGCCCGCCCCGGCCGCCCCGGACCATGTATGGTGCTTCCTCCCCGAGCCCTACAAGGCGCTTCCTTCCAGCCCCAGGCCCATACAAGGCGTTTCCTTCCCGGCGCGTCTGGCTGGCGGCCCGCGGGCGGCTGCGGGCTAGGAGCCCAGCCCTCGGGGGCCGCCCGCGCCCGGGAGCCCGAGGCCAAGGGACCCAGCCAAGGAGGGGGCGGCCGGCGGGAGGGTCCGGGAACGCGCGGCCTTGCCCTGTCGCCGTCCGGGCCCAGCTGAGGAAAACGCTGGACAGGCCGACTTGGGAGTCCCTTGGGAAGGCGCCTTCCTCCACCCCGCTAAGGTCTGAGGCTCCCACTGTCCTCTATCGTTTTCCTATTTGTCCCCACCCCTGAACGCAGCACATCCTTGTTGGAGATCCTTAAGCGGCCAGAAGCCCAAGACCTGAAGCCCACACTCCAAGCGTGGTGTCACAGCCTGCTGGCCCTCGATTTACCCTCCACCCCTTGCATTGGGCAGGTTGGTCTTTGGTAATATCTAATTGCTTCTATTTCTCTCTCCTTTTCTTTCCGTTTTTTCACTCCTCCCAGCCTTTAATCAAGCTGTTTCCTCTGCTGGAATGCCCTTCCCGCACCATTCTAGTGAAACGGAATGCTGCTGCTACCCATCCTCTACTTGATTCAGACGTTGGCCCTGTGGAAATCCCTCCCACCCCACTCTATAGATCCACAGACCTAGGTACTTCCCAGTGTCACACATCTTTTGTTTATTGCAACTATGATTTGGTCTTACTCATCTTTGAACTTGTTCTTACCTCAGAAAATGAGTAAGCCTGAAGAGGAAGAGGACCCTGTTAACAGGCCTCTACAGACCGTTTTCACCTTGGATAGAGGTTCTTCACTTTAGGTCTGGTCTCCAGGATCTCTGGCCATGGCTCCCTGTGCTCTGGGGTTCACAAGCCTCAGGACCCTACAAGAGTAGTTTGGCTCTATAGGGGATGTTGGGAGTGGGGTGGGGTAGTGCCTGCTAGGTGCCCTCACCACCCAGAGGGCCTCTCTTGTGCACCCTGACAGCTCTGACTATCCACCTCTGTAAGAGTCAGCAAGCCCCCACAGGTGCTCCCTACAAAGCCTTAAATTTGGCCAGCCACATGGTTACTGTGATCTGCCATGAGCAAAGGTCAGAGGAACCAGACTTCAGCAGAGACCAACAACACAACTATCATCAAAGTCCAGACTCTACTGGGAGGAGACAAGCCAGCTCCCATATTGCCAGCTGGACCAACCTGTGGCTCCTGATTTTTCTGCCTCAGGTGAGAACCAGAAAGAAAGCAGAGCTTGGGGTTGGGTAGGGGGAATATGCCAGAGCAGGGGCTTCTAGTGACAGGTAGCCTCTGGATTTGATCCAGAATAAAAAYCACTCACAGGCTTGTAGTTTGTACTAGTTTGCAAGTGTGCACACACACATGCGTGCTATAACTACAGCACCAAAGTTAAGGAGTTTCATGTGTCTCCCCAACTCCCTCTGAGAGAAGATCTCAAAGGTCTAGGAATTGGATTTCAGATAAGACCCGGTTTCAGGCTTTGCAACCACCGTCTATGGTACCTCTTGCTTTGTTTTCTACCTTGACTGCAGCTCCCCAATCCTTCCCCAAGCCTTCTCTTCCGGGCTGCTGTTTAGGATTGTGGGTAAGAGACCAGGCTCAAAGGGGTTCTTTCCACCCTCTCTCCTACTCCTGCCTTCCGCCCCCTGCTGGCCACTGCCCTTTCCTGCTCCAAGCTGAGGGCAGTTCAGGGTGAGGAGGTGGTGCTTGCTCCTTACAGGGCTGGGAGATCCCCAGCTGGAAACCAGTTAGCTGTTTATAACTGAGCCTAACTGAAGGGGAAGGCCTGAGAGGAGATGTGGAGCTTCTGCAGGCTGCTACAGAATTTGCAAGAACCCCAGGCTTCTGCTTAGGCTGGCCTTCTGTTCTTTTCTGGGTGAGGGTACTTTGAGCCTCTGAAAGCTCTATGAAGCTTAAGGATCCTAGGCTGTTTTCTGACCTAAAAAATAGGACACGTACTCCAGTTGCCCTGCACTGGGCATTTAGGCCCTTCTCATGGGGAGTATTTACTGGAATTGGTAAAATGAGACTTTTTTTTGCAGGGTGGGAATACCATGTGATGCACAATAAGATGGTCTCTGATATTTCCATGCATTTTTCTTATTGTATTCCTATGCTTGCCTTCTCAACCAAATTATATACTCTATAGAAATAAAGAGAGAGGAACTAAATCTCTTGCTAATGGTACCAACCCCTCCTTACCAAGACTGGGTTGGGTGCATCTTTTGTTTCCTAACCCTACAAAACCTTTCCATTGCCTTTTGCTTTTGCTTGCCTGGTTTTGCTACTATTTGGTGACTTCTTATTGATATGGACTTATCTGCCTTCTTGATAATCCCATTGTGGCATAGTAAACAATTGTTGAATGACTGAATATGAATCAGAGTTGGCTAATTCTGCTTGTGGAATGCTTGATACATACTTAATTAACACAGTTTTTCTTTAGTATTGGGGGTTGAACTTGGGGGTACTCAACCACTAAGCCACATCCCCAGCCCTATTTTGTATTTTATTTAAAGACAGAGTCTCACTGACTTGCTTAGCACCTCAACTGTTGCTGAGGCTGGATTTGAACTTGAAATCCTCCTGCCTCAGCCTCCCGAGCCACTGGAATTACAGATGTGTGCCTCACCAGCTCATTGTCACATTTAATCAGTGTTTTATAGGTTGGAAAATAAACTTGGCTGGGTGTAGTGCCAAACATCTGTAATCCTAGTGATTTAGTAGATTGAGGCAGTAGGATCACAAGTTCAAAGCCAGCAATTTAGCAAGGGCCTAAGCAATGTAGTGAGACCCTGTCCCAAAAGAAAGAAAATAAGCTGGCTGTGGTGGCACATTCCTGTAATCCCAACAATCTGGGAAACTGGGGCAGGAGGATCACAAGTTCAAGACCAGACTCAGCAATTTAGCAAGGCCCTAAGCAATTTAGTGAGACTCTCAAAATAAAAAAGCAAAAGGGCTGGATCTGTGACTTAGTGCCCCTGGGTTCAATTCCCAGTACCATAAGAAAAAAAGATTAGCTTTGATCATTATTTTTAAGTGCCTTCACCTAGATCTTTTTTTCTTTTCCTTTAGTGGTAGTGGGGATTGAACCCAGGGCCTCATGCATTTTAGGCAAGTGCTTTACCACTGTACTACATCCCTGAGCCTTTTTAAAAAATTTTTTGAGGCAGGGTCTCACAGAGTTGCCCTGACTGTCATGGAACTTGTGATCCTCTGCATCAGCCTCCTGAGTAGCTGGTTAGATCTTAAGTGGGAGCTGTGATAAGACCTGGTGTCTGACTTCAGAGTAGTGCTTAGGAGGAGGCTGCCTCCATGCTGGCATCCAGTCAGAACCTGGTACCTGTGACTGCACAGCAGCCAGGTAGGTAAGGAGGGACACATGGGGTATTTGGCTGGGTTCTGCTGGGAAACTGAGGCAACACAGAGACCTTCTTCAAACCCCGATTCTTGTGATCAAATCAGAAAAATTTCAGACATGTTGCTTAGAGTGACAGGCATGAGTTTATTAGAAGGGATAGGAATGGGGCTAAGGATATAGCTCAGTTGGTAGAGTGCTTGCCTTGCATGCACAGGCCCTGGGTTCAATCCCTAGCATCACACAAAAAACAGGGATAGGAATGGGGAAAAGGAGAAGGACAGTGCACTTCTCCTGCCCTCCAGTTTTTTTCCTCTACATTTTTTAAAATTGGTCTATTATAGTTGTATATAATGATGGGATTTGTTATTACATATTCGTACATGTATAATATAACTATATAATTTGGCTAATATCCTTCCCAGCACTTCCTCCCTCCCTCCCTTCTACCCTGCCTTTGTCCTTTTCCCCCATTCTATTAATCTCCTTTGCTTTTCACGCATAGCTTCCCACCTTTCTTTTTCTTTTTCCTCTCTGGCATCCACAAATGAGAGAAAACATACAACGCTTGACCTTCTGAGTTTCTGCCCTCCAGTTTTATTGAGGGTCCCAGGGAGGTTTCCAGAGAGTCCTGCCCAGGTGCGCTGCTTGCCTTTTTTTTTTTTTGTAGCCATAGATGTGTTACCGCTGCTTGCTTCCCCCAATGCTGAAGTATAACACCAGAGAAGCACACCGAGGCAAGTTTAGAGTGGAAAGTGGAAGCTTTATTAAAGGACAGCAGAAAAGACTTCTCCCCAGAGGAAGAAGGGGACCCAAAAGGGACCCAAAAGGCGGAACCGGAACCGTGGAAGGGGGAGGTCTTCCCTTTTTTATAACTAAGGTCTTCTTTCAGCTTTCCCACACTCCTGTCCTTTGTTTCCCTTTATCTTTCAGTGAAAGAATGCAGGTGGGAAGGCCCCAAAAGGTGGGAGATAGGTGGGCTGGAGGATTAATCTGGGCAGGAAGGGTCAGGGGTGGCTTTTGATTAGCATTTCCCTGTTTGCTGGGAGCTGTTTCATTAACAATTCCTTAGAATGGGTTCCAGGCCTTGGGGACATTAATATTTCAATTTCCACAATTGCTGCTTTGGTTTCCTGGACTCCATTCTCTATAATGGCCTCCATTTTATTTATCTTACTTGGTATTAGACCCGATTTACCTATCTGTAAATCTGGCTTCAGATGGACATCATGTCTTTTGGTTTGTTTATTTTTATGTGGTGCTAAGGATCAAATCCAGTCCTCACTCATGTGAACAAGTGCTCTGCCACTGAGCTATAGCCCCAGTCTGCTACCACTTGACTTTTGACTGACAGCAGGATGACATCAGGTTTTCAAGTCCCTACTGCCATTATCACTCTAAGTGACTTTGGCCCATGCTGACCCTGCTGGAACCTRTTCTTACAGATTTTATGGTTAGGGGGAATTATCCTTATCTACCCGAGTTCCAGGTGTAAGGGTCTCTCCTTCAGTGTAACTTGTGTGGTTTTTTTTTTTTTTTTTGTACCAGGGATTAAACCCGGGGTGCTAAAACAGTGAGTCACATCCCCAGCCCTTTTAATACATGTTTATTTTGGGACAAGGTCTTGCTAAGTTACTGAGTCTGGCTTTGAACTTGTGATTCTCCTGCCTCAGCCTCTCAAGCCACTGGAATTATAGGCATGCACCACCTTGCTCAGCTAATTTGTATTCTTATCACTGGCATTTCATGCCTACATTTCTTCTGCAGATAACAGGTGGTTTGCTGAAGAATGTAACATATCCTGTTGACTCAAGCCAGGCAGTACCACAGGTAAATTGCTTTTCAAAAGAGAGAGAATGTGGGGGTCAGCACAGTGGGCTGGGTTTTATAGAATTCTTCCCTTAAACTCATGTTCCCACCCTCAGGTCTTTCTGTCCCCTATCAGCCTAAGCCTCTCCCTGCCAAGCTTGCCTGTCTTGCGATTAGTGTTCCCAGGCCTGGCTCAATGACGCAGATACTTTTCAGACGGCCAGGAAAGCTGCCAGGGAATCCTCCTCCTAAGAAGCTTTTGGAGAGAAAGACCTGCTCTCATCTGCCAGTGGGAGGATCCTGAGGTAGCTGCTGTTGAGGCTGGAGGTGGTTGGGCTGGAGGGCTGAGCGACAGGTCACTGGGATTATTGGCATGTGTGGCCACACATCCACCAGGCTAACACTTCTATTTAAACTTGAGGGAATGGAAAGAACAGTTAAAAAACATGTTCAAGACCACATAAGTATGTGTAAGAATTAAGATTTTACCCTGGACTGCTGGCTCCAGTGTCCAGTTGTTAATCCTGAAGTACTTTTAAAAGTAAACAGGAAGGGTAAAAGAAAGGTGTTAGGGAAAGGAAGGGGGCTGTTCCCTCTCCAATCATGGAAATGCAAATGAAGATGTACTCCACCAAAAAAAAAAACAAMAAAAAAAAAMCGAATAGTTAATAAGCATATGAAAAGATAA